AACGTGGATTTACTCAATACAAGGAGACCTGGAATCAAAACAGTGCCCAAGGAACACACAGTGGGTGCACAGTAAGTGCTGCTTCTCTTCCCTCCTCTTCTAGGTGAGGATTTTCTTTCAACATGCGAGAAACAGTTTTGTCTTCAGACGAGGACTGCAGAGATGAACCAGGAGGACTATGAAATCTTGATCTACTTGTGAATCTGCGTCAGGCTGAATATAGCAACGTGGACTTGTACCTGTTAAGTTGCCTAATCTGTATAATTTACACCCAGAAATCTTGTTAACTAGGGCAAAACAGTTTGCTCCCTTTCAGCGCTGAAGCTGTTGCTCCTAGGAGAACAGAGTTGAGAAAGAACCTGAGAATACAGTTAAGGAAGAGTCTAAGAGAATCTCCATCTTAGGGACAAGAGGCCACCCTCAGAGGCACAGAATAGATAAAGCACTGCGCAAGTGTTGCTGGTGGCAAGAGCCCATGCCCAGCCAACAGAGGAAGGACTAGCGAAATGCAACCAGCATCCCGCTGTGCCATGGGAAGCCTTTACATTCAGGGCAGAGAGCAGCATGGAAGACCAGCCATCTAAGTAAGTAGCAGAGATTAAATTGGACTATTAGTGGGATATCAGACAAGGTATTGAGCTTCTCTCTGCCTCAACTTCCTCTTCTGTAAAATGGTTTTTTGAACCAGTTTACTGTGAGGATCAAGTGAGTTAATGACAAGCACATCTTCCTGATGCCCAGGGCAATTTCCTTGTCTTCTCCGTCCTCACATCCACACTGTCAGGATGTCCTGGTGGCTTTACCTCCAAGCTACCTTCAGAACCTGACCAGGCTTCACACTGCTGCTCTCCTGGCCCAAGACGCCACACCGCCTCTGAGTTTATTGCAAAAATCCAAGTGCTTTGCCACACAACAGAGTCCCATGGAGGAGGTGTGAGTCTGATCATGACACGTCTCTCTGAGGCCCCTCTGCTGCCTGTTTATCTGACCATGAGCAGAAGCTCCGAGGCTCTGTGGGACACCCAAGTGGTTCCCCCCGCCTGCTGGACCCTGCTCTTTGGCACTTACATCCCTCCATAGGTCTCACTTAGTTACTTGGTCAGTCTCCTTCCACCAGAACAGTGAGCTGAAGGCGGGCATGTGGAATTCTGCCTACTTTGTTCAGTACTGAATCCCCCAACCCGGGAACAGGGCTTGCCATCTGGAAGGACCTCAACAAATGGTTTCAAATGTACACAAAGTACTTAGAGAAGTTCCTGGGATGTGCCTTAGGTACGATCACTGTGACTGTTCTTCCCAGATATGCTGTCTTCCTGAGTAACTCCTCTACTCATTCCATGCCCCCATGAAGCCACACGGCCCCCACTCTCTAGGAAACCTCCTGCGGCAGTGCGGAAGAGACTGGGGCTGCTATTTTCAGTCTACTTCACTTCTACGCTGCACCATTCTGGATGTCCTTATTAAGCTTCTAGGCAACCAAACATCCTTACAGACATAATTAGTAAATTATTTAGTTTTGGAGGAATTACTGCCAAATCAATACAGGAAAGCAGTGGATCCACAGATACGTTGTCTGGATTAGACCCTTGCGACTTGTTAATGGTGGTGACAGAGTTACCTGCTCTCCACATTGGAAATCCTGTGGCATAGCAAGTTCTGGGGGCTGCCTTGGCTATGTTTCATTATGTGGATCACATAAAACATGTCAATGCAGTGGATTTACACTTATTTATAAGCATTTATCCTTACATTAGTTTTACAACAATACAGTACTACATAACATATATGTAACATATATTACAATAACATATTGCTCTGAGAGTTAATAGATGAATAAGTGAACTTCATTTAATATGGATGGCCAATTATATACATATATACATTTTACATATACATACACACACACATAATTCAAAAACTTTGTGGAAAGTGGAATTCAAAGATAAGCTTGTGGTGGGCATTTTACCTAGTGGTAAGTGGGAAGATGCGTGCATCCCATATTGGAGTACCTAGGGTGGTATTTTACATACAAATTCCAGTTCCCAATTCTAGCTTCCTGCTAATGTAGACACTGGGAAGCAGCAGATGGTGGCTCAAGTAGTTGGGTCCCTGCCACCTACATGGAAGACCTGGATTGAATTCCTGGCTCTCAGCTTTTGCCTGGTCCAGCCCTGACTCTTGCCGGCATTTGGAGAGTGAACCAGTGTATGGGAGTTCTCTGTTTATTGTCTGCTTCTGTCTCTCTGCCTCTCAAATAATATAAAAATAGTTTGATACAAAAGTTCTTTAAATTCATGCATAGTTTCTTCATAATGTGCATTTCCATGAAGTTTTTTAAGACCCCTCACAGCACAGATCCAAATACTGCACACAGATCAATTTGTCATATATGTAAATATGTGTGTATGTGTATGGTTATATATGTGTGTATCTATGTGTGCACCTGCTAATACTCTTAACTGAAACATAGAATTTTAAGGGTAAAAGATCATAAACCTAAGGGTAGTCACTTCTTTCTACAACTGATGGGGTTGTAAACCTATTGATTCTACAACAGAAACAAAAATGTTAGAAACTATTACCATACTTCCCAAGAAACTGTAAATGGAAATGATCTGTCCTCAAGAATTTGAGGGACATTCTTAGTAAACTCTTATTTTGGAGTTCTTTTGAGGCTTATTTACACACACACTTCCCAAAATGCTTTGCAAGCACTAAAGTACTACACAAATGTAAAGTATTATTATTTCCTGTGAATAAGTTAAAAGATACATTCCAAGACAAGGTTATAAAGTTTACAGCTCTTTAAATTCATTCTTCAGATTTTCAATGGAACACCAGCTATTTAAACACTACTTTCAAAGTAGTACTAGTAGTAGTAATAATAAAACAACAAGAAACAGAGCCTCTGTTAGCACTTTCCACTATACATGAAGTGAGCAGAAATGTGATGGAGTACTGACATTCATTTCACTTTGAATTAAACACAGCATCACCACAAGTCCCAAGAGGTAGTATTAAGTTTTGTGTTTGGGTAATACTGGGAATTCTACAGGCAAGGGTAGAATTATATTTGGTTGGCAAAAAGCCAGTTCAACTTCACACTTGTCCTAAAAGTAGGTGGTCAAAAAATCTGCTCTTGTCATCAGACCTATTGACATAGTTGCTTAAACTATCTGGGTTTCAAAATCTTTTGTGCTATTCATTTTAAAGATAAAATAAACCTTAAGAAATGAGATAAAATGAGGCAAAGATTCATGTCTAATGAAAAAGACATTAGGCAGAATTCACCTTGGGGAAAAGTCAGCTCAATCAGGCAGAGCACATCAAATAAAAACAAAGAATGAAACTGGGTTTTCCAAATGTTTTCATCTGATAGTTGATGCGCGCTCTCTCTCTCTCTCTCTCTCTCTCACACACACACACACACACTCTCTCTCTCTCTCACACACACACACACACACACACACACACTTCTCTCTCTCTCTCTCACACACACACACACTCTCTCTCTCTCTCTCTCACACACACACACACATAATCAGCTCTCCGTATCACCGGGTTTGGCATCCAAAGATTCAACCAACAGCAGATTGTACTACACACATGCAGACTTTCCCCCATCGTCATTATTCCCTAAGCCACACAATATAACAATTATTTACAGAGCATTTACACTGCATTAGGTATTATAAGTAATCTGGAACAAATTTGAAGTCTATGGGAAGTTGTGTAGGTGGTATGTGAACACACCTTCATTTTGTGAGACTTGACTGTCCTCAGAGTTGGGCATTCTCAAGGTGTCCTGGAACCAATCTCCCCAGGACACTCAGGGACAAGTGTGTATATATGTGTGTATTTATTTATTCTTTGATTTTATTTCTTCAGGACAAAAGGACCCAAAAATCAAGGTAAGGAGGAGATGCACTCACAGCTCTCTCTCTGTTCCCTCTAAAATTCCTGCTGTGAATTTTCTAGAATTCACAGTACATGTTTCAAAAGAAGCCTTCACTTTTGGTGAATGGAAGTCCATGCTCCCTGATTTGTCTGGTTTTGTTGTAATAGTATATAATGCCTCTCTAATAAATGTAACCACAAACATTTTTAAAAATGTGTCTGCACTCTGCTAATTTATAAAAAGCAGGATGCTGTCAGATAAAATTTCATGAAAATGATCTATAAACCAGACTGTCTAAAGTGAAAGGTACTCAGGCGGTACTTAGGGGCAACAAATACATGGAAAGCACTGGCAAGGCTTCCAGTGACTGTGGTGAAACAATGGCTGCAACGGAGCTCACATTCCCTGGATTTGCAAGCGACTGTGAGGTCACAGGAAATCCCGAAATGCTTTCCACATTTTCTTTTATACATTTTATGTCAAATTTCCTGCAATTGAAATCACAAACCAGCCTACTGCTGGAATCTCTTCTGAAGGCAAGGCGATCTTGTGACACTCCCCCATGAGCACCCAATAACTCAATTCCTGCAAGTGTAACAAGAGACTACCAATGGACTGCGTGCGATAAGGCTGAACCGTCAGATGCTCTAATTCTGCCAAAATGAAAACCAAACCTATGTCTTCAAGAGAGCATGGAAAGTGCACTTCGTCCTGTGACAGCAGGCTTCTCTGTAGTGTAAGAGATAACAGAAGGCAGAAACTCACCGTTCCCTAGTGTTCTCATGCAGAGTGTATTTGAGGGTTTACAGTCCGATTCTGAAATGGCATCTTCCCTACAAGTATTCTTATGTGACTCAACCCTGGACCACCACATTTTATTGTCCCAGCTATATTTAAGAAAGAATAAGTAAAATGTTCAGGTTTAAACTATTCTCTCAAGATTTATCACTCCCCCCGGTGGAATCTGAAAACAGCTTTTATATGGTCAAGCACGATGCTGCTGTAAAGCAACAACATGGAAACTCATGGCAGCTGATTACAGTTTCTAATGAGCACTCATCTCCAACGTGGTGCTGGACCACGAGGTACAGGCGTACATTACCTCTCCCGACATGTCTGGGGCCATCGGGACGGCCGGCCACAGTGATGAGTAGATCCCAAAAAACACCACCCAGAGCGCGATGCTGCCCCAGATCGCTATGTGGCTGAACTGTGGAGGAGAAAATATCTGTCAAAGGCCTCTTGGTGGACTGAGGACACTAATCCTAGTGGAACACCCACGGAATCCCTCTTTATTTATTAGACTCATAAAAGCATTATCCACAGGATTTTCTGCATAATCTCTGTAGAATTCTGTAATTGCGTGTGCATTTTTAAAGACAAACTAGGTCTTTTATTAAGTGCCAATCTCTTCCACAATGGTTAGAGTGTTTGTGGTTCTGGAATTTACAACTAAGTCTTCTTTCTCTGTCTCCTTAGATGATTCTCTCCTCTTATTTTTATCTTTTGTGTCTCCCAATTCCTTTAAGCCTACTTTAGTTTTGCTATGCATGCTCTCATTAAAAGATTTTAGACACCTGGGAAAATATTATCTCTATGCCGATGATTGCCAACTCCGAATTTCTTGTGCCAATCTTTACCCTGAGCATTAAACTTCTTTTTGTTTGCTGGGTCTCTATACCTGGATGTGGACATACTGCAAAACAACCATCTCTAAAAATGAAACTTGTTTTATCCAGACTGGGTATTTATAAGTATATGAGGACAAAACTTTTGCTAATATTGTTAGTCTTCAGAATGAGTTTTCAACGAATTTTTTGAAGAATGCCAGTCCTGGGCCATCTCTAAAAAGAGATTTGTAGTCAAGTAAGTTTGAAGGTCTTCCTATCTCCTGGGATATTCACAACATATAATAACATATTAAAGGCTCTGAGAAGTCCTGTAGTAATAAACTTTAAGTTTGTTTAACCCTGTACTTTTGCACTAAAATCTCCATTTAACACTCTTCCACCCCCAGTACCCTATAATTAATGACTTGTGGACTACGATAAAGGGACAAATTAATTTAGGATAAAAAAGAACCAAAAATTTGGATAGAACGTATAAGCAAATGTGATATTTCCTGGTCATGATTAAGAATACTCTTACCCAGGTCCAATATGATGTCTCTAATCCAGCTTTCAAACACACCGTTATCACCACAAACTGAAACAGAAGAGAAAAGTGTTACTTTATTTCATAAATATTATAGTTGATCAAATGACTGAAGGATACATATATAAAGAACAGGCAGCTTTGAATGAAGCTGTGGGAGCAGTGGATTATTCTCTGCTTGCTCAGTGTGGCCAACAAGCACAGAAGCAGGTGGGTTGGCTGGGAGGTCCCATCACGCCTGGGAGCACTAACTGCCCACTCACAGCATGGCACTCCCACCGCCCTCTGGGCTTCTCCTCATCTTAGCGTGAGTCCATCCATGAAGCCCCTGACTCTGCGTCAGCCTGCTTTTTGTACAATTCATGAATAGTAGCAGAAAGCCTGTGTCTGCATTCACTTGGCTTTTCAAGCTTGCTTCAACTTTATTTTAAACCATCTTTCAAAGGATAAGTCCAACTTTCTGAATTTCAAAGATATATTATAAAATAATTGAATATTTAGAAATCTCAATGCTCCAGAACCTTACTTAGTGGATACCCTGCCAAGTAGACTAGGAATCTCTCACTCCTGTATGATACACACACTCACTGGCGACTGTGCTAGCGATTCTGAAAGAGGGGGCAGGGACTGGCTGGGCTTCTCTATGCTTCCTGACTGGTGAAATGCACCTGCTTTGTGGTTAGACTATCTGTGTGCAAGACTCTATCACGTATTAGCTCTCTCTGTTAACAAACAAGCTATTTCACCTCTCTGTGCCTCAGCTCCTTCTTCTGTAAGCTGGGACCGATACAGTTTACCAACATCACACAGTGGTTACTTTACTTGTTTATTGTTCGAGAACACAATGCTGGACAGAAGACACCGGAAGAGTGCTTAGCACTGCAGCATTACCTCTTGTGGTCTATTTATAACTAATGATAAACTTCTAACTAATGTTAGTAGTCAAGGGATCTCTGGGCACTTTCAGTGGTCTCTGGAGATGGAAATCTGATGTTTGCTTAGCACGTCTACATCAGTAGACGTCTGACATGCCCAGTCCTACTTCCAGGCAGTTTAAGAGTCTGCACCCTGTATTTGCTGAGACACTGCCCAGTGAGGTTGTAAACTTATGTTCAAGTGAGATGGCTGAGATTTCTCAGCAGGATATCCAGTGGTAAGTCTGGGTTCTTATCTGCAGAAATAAAACTGGTATTAAAATGTAAATACTAATTACCACAAACTATATAAAAATTTCTAAAATAAGAGATGCACTTTAACATAAAATTAAATAAAAAGGCCCCCCTGAGACCTGAGTCCCATAAAGTGTGCATAGGATACCTTGGTGATGTATGCTGTGGCTTATTTCTACCTGTTATGCTAGGATTTACTTCCTCTGTTTTTGTATTTATGCTATGTGAGAGCTATCAGCTATCAGCTCCTCAAACATAGTTCTACTTTTCTTTTACTACTTCAGTAGGTTGATGTCAAAGGAAAAACGAGTCGCAGATTTGCCAAAACCTTAATCCTCTGACACTTAATGGCCTTAATTTCCTATCATTCAGATCCATTTGGCCAAGTGATTAAGACACTGGTGACTCCTGCCTGGGTTTGATGACTGATTCTGCTCCCAACTCCAGTTTCCCATTAATGCAGACTCTGGGAGGCAGCAGCAATGGCCTGAGTAGTTGGGTCCCTGCCATGAACATGACAGGCCTGGAATGAGTTCACAGTTTAGATCCAGGCCCCACCCTGACCACAGCGGGCATCTGGGGAGTGACCCAGCAGGTGGGAGATCTCTGTATTTCTCTCTCTCTTTCTTGCTGTCTCTATGCCTCTCAAATAAATTGACAAAAAAAAAAAAAAAAAAAAAAAAAAAAGCCCAAACTGAAAAACCCACTTGATATTGCTACAGCGTATTACAGTTTTTCTATCAGTTGAGTTGGCCATACCGATAGCCGCTCGCGATTTAGAACAATTTTCTTCCTACCCAGGCTGTAGTGAGGCACAGGAGGGGGAGGGAGAACACCGGTCTGACAATTCAAAGGTGAGAGTTAGAGTAAGTTTTTATCAGAAACCAAATGTGTGACCTCAGGCATCAGAATTCACACAGTGCTTTTGACTTCTCAGGGAAAATGGTTTGCAAACATTTTCAGGTCTTTAATGTTGGTGAGGAACGCTTGAATATCTGGAGATTATCATGGTGCTCAGTGCAGTGACCCCGCAGTGGGCCCAGGCCTCGTGTGGGATAAATGCATCTAAGGCTGAAGGTTCTCTTTTTAATTACCAGGAGCCTCTGGAACCATTACTGGCCACACATTCAAGATTAGATTGATAATATTTGTCATCAAGTCAGAAAAGCGAGAAAATACTCATAATGGTGGTAACGTAAAACTTAGGGGGAAAGGGAAAAGGAAAAATAAAAGGGAAAACAGGGCAATAAAAGAGGGAATATTGAAAACAACACTAACTCACGTCCTTTAAAAGTCAGTAAATCTAAAGGGTATTTTAAAAACCTTAACAGTCAAAACATCTTATTTCATTCTTAAAGGGAACTGTAAGCAACCCTTAAATCAAGAAATACACACACTGAAATCGGAAAACAACACGAGCAGAAATGAAGGGCTTTGACTTGTGTGCAGTGGGGTAGGCATCGTGCACTCACAGTGTAAACAAAGTTGCCCAGCAGTAGATAATCGGAGGTTTTCCCATTTCCAAACACAGTACCTGTATGAGAAGAAGAGAGGCTGTCAGAGAGCAAAATGGCAGGATGCTCTCAGAACCCCAAGATAAATCAACTTTCAAATATTGAACAAAAAAGGTAAGCCAGGGACATTCAGTGGAGCAGTGAGGTTGATTTGAAAAATGCTGCAAGAAGCTGCACAAGTTTCCATAAAGACAGGATATAAACTGCAGAAAACTCCTAAGAGCCAACACGAAGAAGGAAATCAGACTGCTAATCAGTTCTTCTTTCCCAAGATTACAAACAAAAATCAAACTAGTTATTCCAGCAAAACTTAAATATATGGCCTTTACGACAACAGAAGCTATTCTGAACTCTAATAGAGAACTGTGCTAACTTTGTGAGGATGAGGTGTTAGGATCCTTCTTGCAATTTCTCCATAAAATCACTGGAACTGAACCAAAAAGGGATTCATAAAACCAACTCACAGAGGGCCAAGAGCACCAAGCGGAGTTCAAAAACTGAGTCTTCAGATGAAAGAAGCGACAGCTAGCAAACAAAAATGTCTTTTACTGATAAAAAGTAAAAGTAACTGAATAAATCATTGGCACTGTAGAAATACTTCAAATTCCATGTTTTGTGTAGCATGGCATTTTATTTATGCACATGTACAAGAACATTTATTCAAATTCTAATCTGTAAGTGCAATATACAGATATGTTAGAATAAAGGACAGGATGAGATAGGGAGAGTGGTGGTGGGGAGCTCTGGGAGCACACGCAGGCTGAGTTCTGTCACAAGCTGTGTCATCCTGGGTTATTTATAATGAGTCCCCATGGAACCCAGTTTCTTTACCTAACAGAGGGAGTGCAACTACCTGCCTTTGGAACGGTTTGGAGGTTAAGGTGAGGAGACATATAAAGCACCACGCACGGTGTCCGGTGCACGGCCGGTGCAGCACACGACTCTGGTAAATCATTCATTCTCACACTGTCTGGTCTCTGCATCTCTTATGCTGAAAAATCACTGAAGATCCCCAAATGCTTTTGCGTACATGGTTTATTTCTATCAATATTTACCAAATTAGAAATTAAAACAAAAACAAAAAATGTCCTGATTTATCTAAAAATAACAGTAATAAATCCAAGAGATGGTAACATAAACAACATGTTTTAGGAGAAATAGCTATTTTCCCAAATAAAAAAAAAGCTAGTGAGAAAATTGGCATTGTTTTACATTTTTACAATCTCCTTAATGTCTGGTTTAATAGAAAGCAGCTGGATTCTCATATGTTGCTTTGCCTCACATACAAGTGTATGAGGGAAATCTAGCTTCACAGAGACATGAAATTATAAAGGAGGGGAGGGTATTCTTTGATATATCAAAACTCTAGCAGTTTCTTCAAGATGAGAGTACTCTCTTAAAAGTCTTGCCAGTGTGGAACCTGAATCTATTAATGAACATTTTGTATCTGATTACATCAAAATCCACTGGCCTGCTTTGCACTTGATCTTTTCCCGGTGTAAGATTCTGTAACCTCCTCCAAGTAAGTAGTTCAGCTCACAACTCAAGCAACCCTCAGGACACTGTTCCTGGAGACGGCCACTGCCTCACGATAAGCAGAAGTGCTTTATGCACACTCCCCCTTTTGTCAAGCGGAAAATTCTGAATGTGCAAACCAAGCTTCAAGATTTCATAAAAGCATTAGTTTTATGGCTTTTTCAAGGACTTTCCTAAGGGAAAAGGGCAGGCAGCAGTGACGAATACAAGGACTACTGGTACAGCAGTTACCTGCAAATTCCTTTCAAACCCCATGATTGCCAAGGTGGTTTGGATGTTTGCTGGATTGAGCTATTTTTAACATTAAGTTTATTTTTTTTTCTGATTTAGAATGGGGAAATAGTAGTTTAAGAGACTTGATATGCCCTGCCGCCTAAACCTACATTGATTTTGTATTTTGAAAATAAACTTTAATTGGAGAATGTGACTAAGGCCCAGGGTATCCTGAATTATACCCTGGACTTCAATATCCCTCTTCTCCAAAAACTGAAATAAATACAAATGTCCATCAACTGATGGACGGATAAACACAAGGTGGTATATATGTATGGTAGAATATTATTCAGCCTAGAAAAGCAATGAAATACTGATTCCATGCTGCAACATGGGTGAACCAAGGTCACTTGTGACATAATTGCATTTATATGAAATGTTCAGAATAGGAAAATCCACAGAAATAGAAAATTCAGTGTTTGCCAAAGGCTAAGGTGGGGGGAGGGTGGGGAAAACTAAGGAGTGATTACTAATAGGTATGGGTGTCTTTTTTACAGATAAAAAATTACTTGCTAGTTTACTTCAGAGTCACACACACCTACCCACCCACAGTGCTTCCTGTCTACTGATTCACTCCCCAAATCCCACAACAGCTCTGTGTCAGGCTGGGGGCTGAAGCTGGGTGGCAGAAACCAAACCCCCTGCAGTGTCACCACAGCCTCTGAGGGTGTGCATTAGCAGGAAGCTGGAGCTGGATTGGGAATTGAATCCAGGCACTCCTAACTGATGGCTTAACTCCTAGGTCACTAACTGCACTGATACAGGCTTTCTTTATAGGGTGGTGAAAATGTTCTGGCTTTAGATATTGGTGACATTTGCACAATTCTGTGAGTATCCTGAAAACCCTTGAGTTGTATAGGCTAAAAGGGTGAATTTTATGGTGTGTAAATTATATCTCAAAAACAGACAAACTCATTGTATTTATCCTGGCCCACTGGGTCAATACTCTTATATTTAGATGTTCTAACCACACTCATTCCCATGACCTAGAACCTGAGAAATATTTGCTGCTATAATTTACTGAGTAATTGCTGCACACAGGAGATTTAAATCTCTGCTAGGACATGACCTACGTCTTCTCTGTAATTCACGTGCTCTTGGAATTCATGCACAGTTTACCGAGTGCCTAAGCGCAGAGAGGCGCTGTTGTAAGCCCTGCAAATACAACTCAGCTGACCCACTCCTCACCCTGCTGGAGCTCTGGTCCCAACAGAGGCGGCGGCCAGCACGAAGGAAATGGACGCAGTGCACCCTGACAGGCAATTGCGTGAGGACACAGGAGGAGGACAAGGGCACAGAGCGCAAGGGTGAGTGTGGCAGGTGTTGGTGGCTCTGTGGGATGAGTGATCTTGAAGGGCCCTTCTGAGCAGAGCCCGGAGGGAGGGGACCACCTGGGGAAGACTGAGGAGGGGTACAGTGGTGGGGGCTTTGTTCTAAATGTTCTTTGTGGGTTTCTGGGGAAAGAGGCACCTGGCTTGATTTACGTTTTCCAAGGATGGCTCTGGCTACTGCAGGTGGGCCTGAGCTGGCCAGCAGCACTCTCTGCTGTGGGCACAGTGGGCCTGGCCTATACTCAGGAGAAGATGGACAGTCCCTCGGGCGGAGCGTGTGTCATGTCTGTTAATTACTGCAGTTCTGGAGCAGAGGCATTGAATGGTTGAGAGTTCTCCCCAAGATCTCAAGGCCAGGTCTGCTCTGGGACACAGTAGCCCAATCGCAAGTGTTGCAGGGGGCTGGTCTCGAAGGTGGCTGTGGGATCATTTTTATGTGTGTAGGAAATAAACCACAATCCTGTCTCTCGAAGCGGACAGAATAAAATCACTCCCACAGAATGAGCAGAGAAAAAGTTTACCCGCCGAGATGAACATAAAACCATTAGAAATCTCATCCAGAACAGCAGCACAAGCACACTTGAAAATGCTAGCCTGTCTGATTAGGTCCAGTATAAAGCACTCAGTACATGCCTCCCAGGTATAATAAAGAGACTACATAAAACATTAGCACTTATTGTCTTCCAGCTATCCATCAACAGAGAGGGGGGGAAGGGCCTTAAAATTTAACTCTCTGCAAGTATGGAAAACATGGGAGGGAAAGAAGAAAGGCTTTGCATATATTAAATCACTTTGCTCCCAAAGGAATAATAAAAGTCTTTAAAGTGTGTACAGCATTGGGATGCATGCATTTTAGGTTTAGGAAAATATCGTAAAATGAAACACTGACATTGCTGTAATTTTTAGCATATATTGACAATGAGTTATTTTTCTAAAAAAGTAAAAAGTCACCTCTTACCATTCATATCCTTTCTACTTACCATACTGAAGGGCTTTTAGTGGAAACCAAAACAGAATAACTGAGTGGAAGAGGCCATTTAAACAATGAACCCAGAAAACCTGAGGGAAAACAAAAATCCATGAGAACCATGTGCGATAAACTAGCGCTGTGAACTCTGCCCTTGCTTTTTATCTATGAGCTAGATTCACAAAACGTGTTTCTGTCGGGCCACCACTGTGAATTAATAGAATTGACAGACACTTTCTGCCTCTTAGACTTTCATGGGTCATTTATTTATTTTTATGTTTCTCAAAATGTTTTTTCAGCTTCACTTTAATTTTTTTGCCCGCTTTTTACAAACCAAGTTTCAAGCGTTTAAATTTCTGCCTGAAAAACAGAAATTCTTCAAGTGAGACTATTTTCATAATTCCAGAAGAATGGCTTTTAAGAAGATTGTAATTTGGGGAAATCTCTTTCTCTTATGTGAAATGCAACTGCAAACTTTTCTATGGTAAAGATCTCATACTTTTCTCTCTCTCCATACATAGAAACAAATACACATACATTTTATTTAAAATGGTAAGTATAACATTTCAGTGTGTAGTCATTATAGCATTGTGAATGTGACTGAATTCTTTTCTGAACACTGCTAAATATCAAGTTTCCTAACCTATAACATCACTGAATAGTTACTACTTTTTATGTCTGCTGTATTTTAAGAACGAGTATCAATGGTAGTTTCTTTGTAACATGGAAGTAAAAGATTAAGTTATAGAAAAAACTGTTTAGAATTCTTGTGGCCTTCTGAACAGTTGCAGTTTTGTCATTTAAAAGTGCTTCCTGCAAACAACACTGATGCTAAATCAAATTGGCATGTATTAATAGTTTTAAGCTGTTCAAACAACAGAAATTAAGTTGCCTGCCTCCCAAAATTTTCCACTGTGATCTCAATCTCCTTTGTTAGTTCACCCAGCCACACTGGATTGTATGATCCAATTTACGCTCCAATACATTACACATTTGAACTTGTGTTACTCATTAACCTTTGTCTCTTCTCCTCACTATGTCATTAACACAAGTTTTTATTTGACAGAAAGCACAGGTGGGTGCAAGAAAAATTAGTTCTACTTTTCCATTTTCCTGACCAATACTTATTGTCACATGCTAATCCTTTAACCCCGGTCGTGACCTCGGAGCCTCCGACCCTTTTTACCATAACAAACGTAAGCATCCTCATTCAAGGCAACAAGGCTTCTCCACTGTGGACCCACAGCAACTGCTGTGTACACAACTACGCATTTTGTAGTCATTTGTCCCTGCATTTGAAAACACTTTATGGGAGTTAATCACAGAATTCTCACAGAAAATCGAAAGATCCTACAAAAAACGGCCAGCAACTTGTGTATGCAAACCAAAAATATTCAAATAGATATGGCGACTGTATAACCTATTTGGGTTGATGTGGTGAGTTTGGTAAAAGTATAGACTAAGCCGATAGTCAAATACTTCTGCAGCAACAAAGGATACAAAGGATGATGTATCCACAGTGAAACTAGCTACCACCAGCTACACCTTTTTCCTGGCCACAAAATCGTGTCCAAGTTCCCATGTACAAAGGGCACAAAAGGATGTAGCTTTGCAGAATGACTTTCGGTAATCCCATGAGAAATAAGTTATGTTGTTAAGCAAGAGTGAGATGGCCAAGTTTGTGGCTGGGAAGTTAACTCTTGAGATGGTAGCACAGAATCTGAGCTGGGGCAGATGGGGGCCTGTGGTCGATGCCACTGCCTGAGTTGATGAGAATTACTGTGCTTTCCTAGCTCACAGGTTACCTTTCAGGGAAGTAAGAGCTCCTGTTTCTTGTATCCGCCCTGATTGTGGCTTCCCGTCATTTGCAAATGTCCACTACAGGCAGCAAAAAGCATTATAGCAATGCAGTGGGGATTAAATACAAACTGGATGTCATAAATAAATTTTAAAAGTCCCAAATAAAACATTCAAAAATGAAATCATAGATAAAACTTATTACAAACAGTGACAGCTTTAAAAGAGACTATTAGAGACACTTTCCAGAACTAGTGTGTTCTTTTATTTACTGACTTCAATGATTTTAAACAGTGCCATCCAGTTGTATGTGAGAGCACAAATGTACACACACACAGCATGTTTGTGAAGATCAAATCTCAGAATAACCTCTGGGCTATAAATTTAGCTCTACCATTGATGGTGTGAGGTTAGAGGTGCCAAGACACCTGCTTCACTTTATTTCCTTGGCCAGAGAATAACCATCACTGGAGAGCAATATGAATTAATAAGCATTAAAAATATCCTGTATTAACTATCTGAAACTCAAGACACTGAATTAAAGTTATATCTAATTGTCAGTAACATGCTAATAAAAACGGACTCTATTAAATGAAAATAATTCTGTGAAGATGGATTGTATTTGTTGCTTTTATAATATGAACCACAAAATTTTTATTTTTAAAATGGCGCCAACATTGATTGTTACAATCTCAATTTTTCCTTCCTCACTTTCACTAAACAGAAATCTGAAATACCAATGAATACCAATGGAAATACTTCAGAACATGAAGATACTTTAAAAATTTCATGGAAAAATAGTAATTTAAAGATAAATTAATTTTTGTCCACAAAATTTTTGAAATCCAAAATAAATCATCTTTTAATTCTATTTTCTGTGAACTTTTTTTTTATAGTATTTCGTGTATATTAGCAGGATAGTAAACTATGCAGAAAATGATACCTTTTATTGGTTGTTGTTGCTGGGATGGATCACAAGAGATGACAATAGCCTATGGCTTCTTATGCAGAACGTAAACCCAGAAGGTGATTTTTAGATAAAATACTGAGTATTTTATCTTATATTTTTAGTTTCATGGCTTGGGAATACTGGGTATCATGATTAAGTGACTTACTTCCCAGAGACTATAATTTTAATGTCTGGTACCATCAATCTAAAATTCTAATGAGGACGAAGTTATTTCACAGACTGAGAATGAGTAGACTGATACAATGACGCCCACCCCTTTACATGTGTGAAGCCGGCCCCTGTCAGCCCTGGAAGGCTGGCCCCATGAAGAGTGATCTTTTCCCCACAACACGGCCGAGACAGAAGCCAGAGGACAAAAAAGACCACGGCTTCTGTGTGCTAGACCGGCATACTGCTCCCTACAAACTCTCATGAACTATGCTGATGTCTGAATTTCATGTCACAAAATAGCCAAACCAAACCAACTAACCAAACCCCTTCCTAGCCATATCAGAACATAAGAAATAATTGGCCATGGCTGGCACCCTGGCGTTAGCCGAGACTGGCATCTCCTTGCCTTTGGAAAACGAGATGCCCCAAGGAATAACAGCAGGAAATCAGCCCACATGGAACATGCACCAGGGAACTGTGCCCTACCTTGGTGTTGAAGTCCAGGGCATTCTGAGACGTTTTGTATAACTCAGGGTACTTCAACATGTTCTCCTTCCTGCACGACCTCTCAAATATTCCAAGAGTTAAGGGAGGCATTGCTGTAAACATCTAAATGGACAAATTGGTCGGTAAGGCCAGCAGCCAGACACAGGTTGAACCCTTATCCCAAATATTCAATAAAACAGGAATTATCAAATATCAGAAACTTACCACATTATAGAGACCTATACACCATCTTTCAAAGAGGATCTGTCCAGAGAAACCATTAACAAAGGCAAACCAGATCTAGGAAGAAAACAGTCCAAAATTCCCCAAATTAGAGCACAAGACCAGAAATGCAGTGCTTAGAATTTCTTCCTATGCAACCATACGCAGCAGCAGCAAGCCTGTTTTCTAGATTCTGTTGAAAATGGCATCGCTTAGCTCCTCTTTTTAATTTCAAGGCATGCTTGCATAAGATATCTGTTGCTTATGTCATAACTGGTTCTGCTTGGAGGAAGGATCAAAACAGAACTATATGAATAGGCCATCAGATTTTTAAAAATAAATATAATCTTGTTTCTAAAATCATTGTGACTAATATAGGAGGGTACTTTAAAGTACTTGTGGAAAAATGGAAAAGATAAGCTTATTGGGGTGCACAAACTTCTGAAATGCATGCATAGGTTTTTCACAGTATTCATTCCTATGAACTTTTTGAAGACCTGTTGTGTTTCTATGCCATTAAGTTTTTGGCTTTAATTTCCTTCTTTTTTTTCCCCCCCAAAGAAACCTTTTATTTAATGAACACAAATTTCTTAAGTACAACTTTTTAATTCCCTTCAAAAATGCTTATTTGGACACAATTGAAAAGTATTTTAAAATTACAATGGTAACACTTGTTTATTTAGGAAATAATTTTCTGCAATAATACAGTCACTGCTTTCTTCCCTGTTGGTTGCTCGCCTTCACAGAGTTCAGTTAAAAACATCTGCAAATTTAACTTAGGGGAAACCTGTTGCTTATAGTGTCCTTGCTTGCCCTTTCCTCTTTACCATCTGTAACTTGCATTTTCTTAAGTTGCTATATATCCTTGAAAATACTAAAGGATACACTCTACAGTGCAGATAACACTATTTTGGACATTTACTCCACTTCCAGTTTTTGTTAGGCAATTCTGAACTGAAATCCTACATATCTTTTTTATCCCTAGGATGAATTCTTTGAGTAGAATTAAGGGATCAAAGTACATGAGTTTTTAGTTTTTAAAGTTCTTAATAATTACTGTTATCGAAAAGTTCAATTTGAATTTATAAATTAAAAATATTTCTAACAGATTTTAATAAAATCAAATCTTTAGCTACTAGTGCACAATGTTCTTATATAATTTCCAATTCATTTTAAATCAGAAACTTTAACTTTGGAAACAAAATTAGGGGGCAATAGAGAGAAGTTTTTCTCCATCATGTATAAAAATATGGAAAATTAAAGTGCTTACCAGTAAATCAACAGTACATATATACTTTTTTTTTTAAAAAGCAGACCTAAATTATATTAAAAATTAAGTTGACCTGGGAGGATAAAAAACCCAGTTACATAAACACAAAAACAAAGCATAATTACAACTACAAAAAACTAGGAGAGCAGTCCTGACATGCAGCTCACAAGCAAGTTCATCAATGGCATTTGCAGGGACTTTGCCACACTTCACGTTTCATTTAACCTCATTACAGAACCATGCATTGCTACAAATTCACCATTTATCAATATGTACCCAGGCTGGCCTCCCCATGGACAGTCTGTGGACCCACACTGGTCTTCCACTGCATAGTGCAAAGGGATGTTTGAGTGAATATAAAAACGAGTGTCTGACTCATGAGACGGAAGAGGAAGCAAGGCCAACAGCAGCACAGGAGAAATGGGAGGGCTCTCACACCCGGGCAACAACAGCAGCAAAGACACAGGAATCTGAGGCAAATCCACAATTCTTACTTGCTTTGCTATATGTATTTACAGAAAAAATTGTAACATTTGCCCTTAGCCAAGTCTTCTGTGCATGCAAGCCTTACGAGAACTTGGCATTTTTATGGAAGCTCAGCGTAGTCTGTCTTTCTTGCGAGTATAACACAAGTTGGTAAAACAGACTGTAACGCTCTCTATTGTGTTTTTGCATCTGGCCTTTTAGAGATGTGGACTTTATAAATATGTTTGTGAAACTCCGGGTGATGGTAGTATTTTCCCTGAAGGCAACTGTGATCTACCGTAGCAAAACATTTTAATAAGCTCTTTCAGATTTCGTAGGGTATAATGGAAATACAGGGCTTTTTTTTTTTTAACACAAACTTTCAATTATGGCCTCCTTAGTCTATGAAGATACTGGGTAATCTTAATGGGTCTGAAGACAGCGGAGGCTCTCTGATATTACATTCATCTAATGGGCATGACTTGAATCAAAGGCTATATTTCTAAATGCATTTGCACTCATCATACTGTGAGATATGAGAAGTTAATGTTAATAAATTTGTATGAGTAAAGATTTTTAAATGTGAACATCCCCCTGGATTCTTTGTGCATAATATTCGGTCTGATTCAAAGTCTACTATGAACTTCAAATTTAAGACCTTCCCACAAATCAAGGAATCTTTACAGAAAATTTCAGTTTCAAAAGAATGTGCAAATAGGCCAACTTAGCTGAGTTCAGAGTTTAAGGTCATAAATTGATTGCATTATGGCAAAAATTTATAGGAAAGTTAACTTTCTTTGCTATTTTATTTTGTTACTGAAATGTAGGTAAACATGCTTATAGAAATTTACTTCTTGCATTTAATACAGTTAACAGTTGAGCTTCTTTTTCAACAAGAGGAAGATATCAGCAGATAAGAACAGAAGCTTTCAATACAATACCCTACATATTCACTGAAATATTTTGGTATTCAAGTTTGCATATTTTAAAGGAGAAAGGAGGGTCCTGATCAGTGAAGTCTCCTGGCAGAGGGCTGTCAGGGGTCAATCTGACATCTAAAGTTATATTATATATATTATATTATGTATCTTACAAACAGATCCCGGGCTAAATAAAACAACACCTACATTACCATAAGCACATCAAAATCCCTCCAGAAAACAGTCAAAACCAAAGATGCAGAAAGAAAACATTAGTCTCTCTGGGGGTGTCTAGATTATTTAAATTCACAGAGAATCCATCTCTCAGCACAATTTACTGGGAAAGCATCAACCTGTTGACTTTACTCAAGCTTCTAGAAATTAAAAACATGACATTGTGTTGGGATCTTCCCATCAAAACTGGATGTGACTAACTGTTTGAAAGAAAAGGTCTTATTTGCCAGGAAGGAGTCAGATATTTCAGAAGAAAAAAAAGTCTCTTTAGAAAGAGCCAATAATTTAAATGAATACCTAGAGCTGCTGCTAGCAGTATAAAGTCAGAGTTTTACAGACCACCTGCCAGATCTGTATGTATTTGTTTGCCTGTAACTTATGGCAATGAAATAGCCAGATAGCGAGATTCCTGGCAATACAATGATGGGAAAGCAGGTTGTGTAGATAATCTATAAAACCCATAGTGTCCAAGACTGTTCCTTTAGCAGCAAAGAAACCTCAGACCTGCTTCTCCTGGTATTATTTTCTACATTCCACCTCCCAGCAGAGGCGTGGCAGCTAAAGCCTCACAGACATTTTCCTGATGGAGCATTTCTGCATATTAAACAGCAGCTTACAAACAGTCAATGAGTCCTCTGCTCCCACGCCTGATCAGCACAAAAAACTGAAAGGAGAGATTGGAGACTGGCAGTTGTCCTCACTAGAGACATTCAATGATGTGTTTTCTGTCTATTCATTCACAGTATTGGCATAAGCCATTAACATCTGCAGAACTTGTTTTAGCTGGCAAAAGTCGGGTATCTGGGAATTGATTTAAAAGGTCAATTTGTTTCCAAGACAGTTGAATTATATTCCAAATACATTTCCATAGAGTGCTAAAAGAAAAATAAAAATGAGATTTCCAGTAATGTTTAGAATTCACTTCCTTTTTGACGTGTAAAGAATTTGATCAGTGTTAAGCATCTCATGAAGGGGCTTGAAGTTCAGAGCCAAGTGAAAGTCAGGCCTAATCAACCACAAATCACATACTTCTGGATTTGAAACAGAACGTGCAGATTTAGTTTTGATTTGAGTTTAATATATTTTATTTTCCCCATTGGTACATAAATCTTGCCCATTTTATTGTTGGTTGCCAACTCATCTAGGTTTTAAATGTGGCAAGTTGACTACTCTCATTTCATTTTTATACAATTATGCTTTTATAAGCAGATTTTAAACTTCTGGTATCTTCAAAAGTCTATGCAAATAAACTGCGTGAGTTAGCATTCCTTTGAATGTCTGGGTTTGGGATGAGAACACGTCATTAGAAAAACCAGACACATAGAGAGGACTGAGAATCAAAGAAAGTATCTTAGAAAAGAATCATAAATTGATATGTATCACAAATAATTTATTTGTTGGAGCTTATAAGCTATTTTGAAAGCAAATTTTCCTTCAAACATGACCACTTCAGGTCAAATTTAGCAATATTCAAGTTCATGGATATTTCCAAATATTTGGTTATTTTTTTCTAATTACAGATTTTTTAATGACCAATAAATGAAACTGCCCATAACACTTCAAAATAAAGTTTGCATTTTATTAACATGACTCATCACGAGAACTGTGCTTAGTCATTCATTTTTACAAGGAGATAAGCATTTGGACAGAGGCAGAGAAAATAACTGACCCAAACATACAAAAGCCCGTTACTAATGTGTCAACACGGGTAGATGTGGAATCTTTTTTTTTTTTTTTTGGTTATAGTACTACTTTGCTGGTATAAAGTAGGAGATATTATCTCTATGTAGTAAATGGGTAGGTCCTGTGTTTTCTGAAAGATGTGCAGAAAGAGTCAGTAAGAGGGCAAGATGCACTGACAGATTTATGGTAGCCTCTGGCTATGGGGGGCTCTTGAATGCTTGACGTCTAACTAGTCCAAACGGGGATGTTCTGTAAATGTAAAACACACACCAGATTCTGAGCACCCAACAAAAGAATCGAAAGTATCTCACTAATTTTTATATACTGATTACATGTTAAAATAATACTTTTCATATGTTGAACTATATCAAAATCAAATTAAAACCAATTTGGGTTTTACTTTTTGCATTCTGCTAATGTGGCTTCTGGAATATCTGTGATTTGTGTGGCTTCTATTGTATTTCTCTTGGCAAGCTCCCACAGGACAGGAACTACACTGGATTTCCTTTGTAGTTGCTGGATTAAGCCTGGTGCCTAAATCCCTGCAGGTGCTTCAGTTCTTTTAGAAGTGGCATTCCTCACCCAGGTTTTCATTTCTAAAATGATGTTATGTTGTCAGTGTCATCCATGACATTTCAGTCAATGACATATTACATATATGATGGTAGTGTGAAAGATTATATCACCCAGTGACATCATAGCCATCTTAGTTGATGAAAATACTATACTTCATGATGTTTGCACAATGAGGAAATTACCTAACACATTTCTCAGAACATGTCCCTGTTAAGCAACACACAACTGTATTTGATACACAAAAAGGATGACAGACACCCCTTGCTATGCAGGCCCAGGGAACAAATATTCTGAAATTATTACACAAAGTTCTCATTATCTGAATTCATGACACTCATCAAACTAAGAAATCCAAACAGACCTGGATAGCAAGGGCAACTTCTCCTGTAACTGAGCCCTCCATTTTGAAACACAGGCAAATTATCAGATCACCAGTACTGGCAACAGCACGGGTATACCCTTTTAGATCCACGCCTTCACTTCCCCCCAGAACTACAAGCACAAGCCCCAGCTTTGTGTCTACTGCTGTCTTGCTTTTCTTTCTAAATACAGTTTTCCAAATGTTTATTAGCCCTCAACAGCATACTACTTTTTTTCATAGGATTTTGAGCTTCACAGAAATGCAGCAGTTTGCAGTCTTTTAAAAACTGAAAACATTATTTCATGAACAATTCTAATTCAACATATCTTACCAAAGCAACATGACAATTTTGGCCAGAATTTAAACATCCATGGCCCATAAACTGTTTGCTCTGACACAGTAGGAAGTCATAAAAAGTTAAGTGGATAAATGAATTATTATTAATTAAAACACTGAGAAGGCCGGCGCCGCGGCTCACCGGGTTCTAGTCCCGGTCGGGGCGCCGGATTCTGTCCCGGTTGCCCCTCTTCCAGGCCAGCTCTCTGCTGTGGCCAGGGAGTGCAGTGGAGGATGGCCCAAGTGCTTGGGCCCTGCACCCCATGGGAGACCAGGAGAAGCACCTGGCTCCTGCCATTGGATCAGCGCAGCGCGCTGGCCGCGGCGGCCATTGGAGGGTGAACCAACGGCAAAAGGAAGACCTTTCTCTCTGTCTCTCTCTCTCACTGTCCACTCTGCATGTCAAAAAATAAAAATAAAAAAGAATTAAAAAAAAAACACTGAGAAAATATCTTCAGAAAGAAAACTTCTTTAAATATATAGGTAAATGGTAAGTATTTTATATTTAACCTGCTATTACCTCGATAATGTAGAGGACAATGTTCTTGTAGAAGCAATACAAGATGCACTTGGAGACTCGATTATAGTTCCAGGCACCATGAACCATCAATAAATTCTTCAAATACTTGAACTAAAAAAAGAGAGGGAAAAGTTAGTGTCTCCTCTTTGTAACGGTGGCTGATGGAGAGGAATGGTATGTCTTGCAGACACTACCTGAGCGATGGAGTAATCAGAGGAATTGGCTGCCTGCAGGCCTTCATTGCCACTTATCCCTACTCCAACATGCGCTGTCTGTATCATGCTCACATCATTTGCTCCATCACCGATTGCAAGTGTTATGACTTTCACTTGTTTCTTCACCATATCCACAACTTCAGATTTTTGAAGAGGAGAAACCCTTAAATTAGAACAGGTTATCAATGATCTGTTTTTTGAAAAGTCATTGTCTTGAAGGATAAAAAAGCAAAAGATCCAAATGCATGGTCCTCTGAATGACCATAATGGAGAAGTCTTAGGTTTACAAATATTTAGTTCTCTGTTAATCAGGTTCTCACTTTAAGGGAAACTAGGGGTGGGGGGGTTGGGGGACATGTCTGAAAAGCTAACCCCTAGCTGACAGCTAGAACACATAATGCTTTGTTGAACAGCAAACATTTGAGTTCAGAAATTCCATTACTTCCCTAAACAACATCAGAATTTCTAGTTCTTTATATTTGAATGAAAAAGGTCATACAGGTTGTTGCATGGTAGTTCAAACACTAACATAGTGCCTGGAAATAAAAGTGTTGAGTTTTTGCATCTTGTCTTTTTGTCCTATACACTCAAAACAACTTAAAAATCAAGTTAATAGTGGAAACTGGATATCCTTTGTCCTGTTCTCAGATACCATGGTGAATCTCTACCAAAGTAAACAGCAAGAACTTGGTTATTATTTATTTATTATTATTCAAATAGTCAAGTATAAATCAAGCAACTGTTTATACAGATGAGTCAGAACAGAAAATACCAGAATCTGTACTAAAATCAAATTTCATATTAAATTTGAAGTAAATTTTCTCAGATTTTAAGGATACTTTTAAGAAATAAACCCCAAGATAATGATAGAAAGGTTCAAAGACAGGTATTGCATAATTACCTAATGTTTCCCACACTAAATTGGATATTATACAGAAAGACAGGGAACTGGTAGTGTGGCCTGGTGGGTTAAGCTGCTGCTAGGCATCCCATATGGGCACTGGTTTGAGTACTGGCTGTTCCACTTCTGACCTAGCTCCCTGCTAATGAGGCTGGGAAAGCAGCAGAAGAAAAATCAAGTGCTTGGGTCCCTGCCACTGTTGTGGGAGACCCAGATGGAGTTCTAGGCTCTTGGCTTCAGCCTTGCCCAGCCCTAGCTGTTGCAGCTATTTGGGGACTGAAACAGCAGATGGAATCTCTCTCTCTCTCTCTGTGCCCCTACCCATCACTCTCCTGGTCAAATAAATAAATAGATATTTTTTCTTTAAAAAAAAGATTTTTATTTATTTGAAAGGCAGAGTTACAAAGAGGCAGAGGCAGAGGCAGAGGCAGAGAGAGAGAGAGAGAGAGAGAGAGAGAGAGAGAGGTCTTTCATCTGCTGGTTCACTTCCCAAATGGCTGCAATGGTTGGAGCTGGGCTGATCCAAAGCCAGGAGTCAAGAGCTTCTTTTGTGTCTCCCCCATGGGTGCAGGGGCCCAAGGACTTGGCCCATCTTCCACTGCTTTCCCAGACCACAGCAGAGAGCTGGATCAGACTGATCTTCTGTATATAAAGAGAATAGAAAATGAATCTTGATGTGAATGGAAGGGGAGAGGGAGTGGATAAGGGGAGGGTTGCGGGTGGGAGGGACGTTATGGGGGGGAAGCCATTGTAATCCATATTCTGTACTTTGGAAATTTATATTCATTAAATAAAAGTTAAAAAAAAAAAGAAGTGGAGCAGCTGAGATGTGAACTGGTGCCCACAAGGGATGTGGGCACTGGAGGCAGTGTCTTTACCAGCTACCCTACAGTGCTGGCCCCTGTAAATTAAAATCTTAAAACAACAACAACAAAAAGACAGGAATATCAAACCAGAATTGGTCTAGTAGTTATATAGTAATTAAACAATAGAAAAAAACATACACAAGGTTAATAGACAAGAAAAATCTCACTCTTTATAAAATGTAAATCGAATAGATACGTAATAAATATCTGTTGAAAAATCTGGTCAATCATGTATTATCTATTTACAAATGAAGGCCATTACCCTGAAAGAATGGATATATTTTTGCCCAGTCTCCTGATTATTTCTGTGGGAAACATTCCAGCCGTAATACTCTGCACAAACATGTGCCTTCAGGAGCCCTCTCTGCCTTCTGAATGGCTCCAGCCAGAATAACCCTGGCTTTTATTTCAAGTTTGAGAATCATTGCATCAGACAGTGAGTTTGCTTGCATAGTCAATGAGACTTCTCTGCTCTGTATTCTTGGTGCCTGATCCAGAATGGGCACTCAATCAATGGTTGCTATAGGAAAGAATTATTTTTAATTTTTTCTTTGGATTTCCTTTCAGTGTCTGGCAATAGTACAAAATGACACAACTGTGAACTCAGCAAAGGAATGAATATCAGCCTACTAATGGGCTATTTCAATGTTAGCCCCCATTTTTCTTTGAAACAATTTTCATATTTTATTTAGTGTTTCTTAGCAGGCTAATAGAAATTGGTGAGCCCACTGGCTCCAGGTCAGTGTTTAAATAAGGACTACAGCTGATATTTAGTCAACGTCTAAGAATAATGCTAAGAAATGATCTAGAAGGCAAATGGGAAATGGGCATGAAAAGAGAAGCATTTGAAAACATTGAACAAATTCCCTTTAACAGGCTAACAGGTGAAATCACACCATAGGAACAACGGGACTAGGAAACTGGAAGACTTTCTTCATAAGCTGAACTTTTCTCCAGATTGTCTTTCTTTTTATGGCCGTATTGTCACCTCTTAAAGGGCTACTCCTTCCCTCGTCAAAGTCTACTTATGTTGGTGACTTTTGTATACTTGTACAATTTTCTTAACAGCCTAGAACAACCTTCCCACATGAGTTAATTTGCCCTGGTATCCATCAAAAACCACATTTCCATAGCTGAGAATATCTAAAGCTGAACCAGTAATGATCTAATGTATAATGTGGAAACATCATAAAGAGTTGTTTTCTTCCCCCTCTTGCGGGTTTGCATCAAGATTTAAATTTTTCACAATTTTTTTCTTCTCTTCCATTGTTGCCTATTCTTCTTTGGGAGAAGAGAAATCTATGAAAAAATACTAAGTATCTAGTAAATGTCTGGTTTTCTTTCCTGTGGCTCCACAAACAGAGGGTGGTCCTTCGCGATACAACCTAGAAGTACACTGAGTGCAATATGCTTTTCCGATATTATTTTGGCTGTGGACTCTGCATATGTTATTCATTATTTTTCTTATTTGCTATGTAGTAACTCTTACTGCCCTGTGAACATTAGATCAGAGCACCGGAAATTTTTACCATTTAAATGAAGGAGCATATAGGTGGTCCATCTTATATGAGCCTTGTTTTGCACCCTTTTAATGGGATTAGCTACATGAACTGCCTTTCTAAATGGAATATAGATAAAGATTATATGTACATGGATACATACAGACAAAAATAATACTTTAAGAGACTTGTTATGGGTAGCCAAAAGGAGTACAATAATTTCTTCTACTGGACTGTGTTTTAGGGTTAACAACCTAAAAAATTATCATACAGATGCTTAAAATTATACCAATAATAATATATTATCTCAAAGATTTACAGGGTGAACTTAAAAGTTACTTTAATGTTGCCTTTAGAAGGCAAATCTAGAAACATGGGGGAACCCAGTATTTCTTAATTATCCTGCGTGTTTTATATAGTAACCAAGCTGAGGTATTTGCTAAGCTTGAGGTCTGCTCGTGGTGTATTTAGAGGTCAGGATTATTAGTGGGGGATCTGCTGTACTTTCTTTTGCAATAAACTTCCTAAGATTTCTCCTGTGAATATCAATTTATTCCCTATGGAGCCATATTCTGCTGACTAATAAAACAATAACAAAAAGAGAAAAATCGAACTTATGAGATCTTACTTGATTCTTAACTAAAATTTGTTAGGTTCATTTGAAAAGTTTTAAATTGAGAAGGAATTAAACGACAACTGAAAAAAAATCTGTATTACATGTACCAAAAATACATAAATATTAAAACTCTTCTAGAAATTCATCAGGAATTTACTACCAGAATGAAAACAGCAGCTTACATAAGAAATCCTAAAAAACGATCCTTAACATATGGTACACAATGAAACATTCAACCACTTCTAGGTTAAGAGAATTGTGCTATTCAAATGACTGATGAGTGAGCGCTCTCCTCGCCTCCAAAACCAACATTTGTTGATACCCTGTGCAGTCACAGGCATCAAAGAGACCTTACAATATAGGGTCTCAGTCTGCAGAAATACTGGTCTAACACAGGCAGCTTTTCCACTGGACAGAAAAGGAAAATAATTCTAAGACACATTTTCTTTCTGCAGTGTAGTTTAGATACAAAATTTCTGTTTTGTGGAATTTATAGATAATTTATAGTTATAGGTAAACTACTACTGCCTCTAATTTCAATGGTTCAGATAATATTTTAAGCAGAGATTGTTTATAATGGTAGTATGTATTTAAATATGAATTATGTCTATGTGTGCACAGATACTCCCAACTACTAACTAGCCAATATACCTTACAAAAGGCACTAGAAAAACCCTGTTCATATTAGAAGTTATGATAGTGTGCACACTAGAGAACTTATATCTACATTGCTGGTGCTCATTTTCTTTTAAAAAATTCTCTAGCTATATTGAAACTAGCACAATACCCAACATAGGAGCAGGTATAAAAATAGTAGTGGAACTGAATAAATGACACTTTTATAGGAAAGAAAAAAATCATCTCATTGTCCCATGATACTAACATTACAATTCTTACTCATTTCTGACTGTTCACTTTTAGGCAGCAAATTTGTTTGATCTGCTCTGTCCCTAGAATAAAAGAGGAGTTCTGTAAAGGATATTAGATTTTCTAGACTTTCTCCCCTGGATAGTAAAGACAGGCAAAAAATTGCTAGGTGCAGAAGGAAACATCCACTTCTTCCATGGAAAGTGTGTATATTCGGCATGTACTAGAGCCGGATGACTTACCTGCACGTCATGATTATTTTCACCGTTAAGCTAGCTCTAAGCAACAGATGTTAAAAGCTCTTGAGAACAAAGAGCAAAAAAAAAGTGGAACAATGCCTAAAAATATTAATTTGGATTGCTTAAAAGATGTTTCATATAGTGGAGGACCTGACTTAGGGTAAGGGTAATGAAA